CTTCCTTCCTTCCTTCCTTCCTTCCTTCCTTCCTTCCTTCCTTCCCTCTCTCTCTCCATTTTTTTTTATTCAGAAATTTTCTACTCACTCCACATACTATCCACAGATCCCCCTCCTCCCTCCTTCCACCCCGCAGCTCTCTTTCCCAAGCCACCCCACATCCCCACACCCCCCAAATCGAGGTCTCCCATAGTGAGTCAACAGAGCCCAGCACACTGAGCCTAGGCAGGTCCAAGCCCCTTCTCACTGCACCAAGGCTGTGCAAGGTGTCACACCACAGGCACCAGGTTCCAGAAGCCTGCCCATGCACCAGGGACAGATCCCGATCCCCCTGCCTGGGTGTCCCCCAAACAGTTCGAGCCAAACAACTGTCTTCCGTGTCCAGAGGGCCCTACTCTAATCCCATGCGGGCTCCACAGCCACCAGTCCACAGTTCACGGTAGGCCTGGTTTCTAAACGGCACATAAGTCGTTCGTACTGGGGCTAGCCCCGGCTCTTCATAGCCTTGTTTTTCTGCTCCTCTCACCTGCCTGAGCATGTGTGCCTCCGGGAGCAGTTTCTCCCATGTCTTGCCTTGTCACGTTCTGCTGCATTAGAAAGGTCACTGCAGTACATTTGATTCTATCGCCGTCACCCAGTGGGGCTTACTATGTTTCCATTGTTGTAACCAAGATCAGCGCAGATTAGAAAGATCCATTCCCGCGGCTGGAAAGTGAGTCCCCTCTGAGGACCCCCTCTCCCCCAGCACCCCAGTCCTCCTCAGCACCTCTCAGGCAGTGAGGCTGGTCTCCTCTGTCTAATTCCAGGCAGTCCCTGGCTCTTCTTGCCAGGGGTCTGCAATCCCTGGCTTGAGTCCCTGGACAGAGCCACCACCTTGGCAGGCAGAGAGTGAAATCTCAGCTGCATGTCTTGCCAGGGACCAAGCCTCCAGCGGCATTAGTCCTGACAGCTGTCGGAGCTTTGAGGAGTAAAGGGAGGTTTGGCAGCCTTTGAAACATTTTCTTTTAGCTGAAAAATGGGGTATTACAATGCTCCCTTTCACCCCCACCCCGGCCTCTAGTTTCTGCTGGCCTTTAAAAAGAAAAAGAGCTGAAATATTGACTTAAGCTGCATTTATCTCTAGAAACTCCCGCTGCCCTGGAATGAGCCTTCCACAGCTGCCTTTAGTCAGGGCTCATGTTAGGAAAGCTCTGTCTTTTATGTCTGAGCCTGTTACCCCACTTTCCATACTAAGAAAAGAGCCGGCCCTG